CTGTTCTTAAAAGAAATCAAATGTGAATATATTGTGCCGAGTTTGAGAATAACTGGCATTAATGTTTTGTTTGAAAAAGAATTTTGAAAAATGTATTGGAAACCTAATCCAATGTCTATGAAATTCATTCCTCATCAAAGCAAGAAGAAGCCCTTTTGTTTGCTGGATAATTAAAGTCTGATTTGTGTTGGGTTTTTTTTTAAGTCAGGGATTTCTTTGGTAATTATAAGTATTGAATTGTGAGTATTTTTTATTTCTTTTTTTGCGTAACTTGAATAGCATTATAGCGCTGTCCTTATGAGCACCCCTTTATATATTTTAATAGTAAGATGGACAAGTTAGGCCCACACAGCGAACTGGAAGAGATGTGCAAAGGTTTTGTGACACTGATACAAAAACAAACAGTATCATCAAAGGGCCAGATGAGTTGTTGCCTGTAAAGAAGTAAGTATTACAAATCAGTGTGGTTTATCTATTTTGCAAAACTGTTTCTCCTAAGCAGAAAAGTGTGTCCTTGGCAAACATCACCTGCCCAGTATGTCTTCCATATATATGCTGTGGGAGAAGAGTAGGTGACGTAATTAGTACCAGTGAGGTGAACAGCTTCATAGGACAGGGAAGATGAAGGTTTCCCTCAGATTTAATTTATTCTGTCAGTGCTTGATTACAAATTAGAAGTAACAAATTTGTCTCTTGATTACAGACTAAAAGTAATGAACTAGTGCCTTTCTAAACCCAAGGTAAAACTGATTTGCATGATGCAAAGCTGAAGTAAGCATTTATACCTGATAACTATACCAGTTTTTGACAGATTAAAATTGTAGTTTTATTCTCTTAAGGTCAAATATTTCTCTAACTCCTACATCTGTAAGGTAGCTGTGATGGTCCAAAAATATGAGGATGGCAGACTTTGTAATGAAAGGTAAAGTCTTTGGTTAAGTCCAACTTACTTCATGAAATTTCTGGATATTCAGAAGTCTTTATAAGATCTAAGTTTGGAAGGAAGGTTATTCCAATTATTCTGACCTTTTAGAAAGGAAATAGGTACTAAATTGGAGTTAAGCCTTTGTTGTATTTTGGAAGATGCCAAATAGGCTGTGTTTTAATATTCTGAAAGAGAAATAAGTAATGAATTATGTGGCACATACATGGAATGTATTGCTTTACATAGTAGAAATGTGTCTGAATCTCTTAATGCTGTAACCAAAGCTGTAGTATCTTTAAGACAGGGACTTCGGTTTTGACAAATCGAAAACAATGAGAGGAATGGGAGCTCTTTTTAGAGAACAGAATTTCTTTGGTTTTATTTGTTTCTTTGCATGTTTGGTTAAAGTTATAAATCCCATGAATCATGAAAAATTAGCTCAATTTTTCATTTTGTAATACATTATTAAGATGTTGAAGATTTAGCTTGGTGAGTTACTACAATTGCTTAAAAGAGGCCCTATCCATAGAGCACTGATTTGATTTTTCTTCTAGAGAAAAATTCTTTGAAAGTTATAGGCACTTCTTCTGCTCTTCATACAATGCTGTTGTTACTCAAGTATCTACTGAGTTCAAGAATTAAATCTGCCTTACTGACAGTAAGTTATTCAGTGTATTGCACGCCAACAGCATTCAGCAAACTTTCTTAAATTCAGCATAGCAGTCTGGGTGGTTGCAGTTTATGGCAAAGGTTTCTGGACTTTGGGACTCATGCCATTAGTCAGCAGAAAGTTATTTATGACTTTGCACAGAACTATGAGCTGTTATGGGTAACAGTGGCAGCTGTCAAGGATATCTGAAAACACTCTGTCTAAGAAGCAAGATGTATATGTCAGTGTTTTATGATAGAAATCAACCAAATCATACATGCATGCATAGAAAACGTCAAGCTTCTTTTACCAATTACTTTCGGATTTTTATTTTGCAAGCAGTGGTAATTCAACTAGATGTACAAGATGAGCTGCTTTAGGAAGGGAAGTCACTTTCAGTCTCATTTCTTTTAAAACAGAGTGGATAATACATTTCTTTACAGTATGTCTAGATTTTAAGAATTCCAGCTGGTGTTCATACACAGCCTCATCTGCTGTCAGACTCTATTCATACTTCACGTGATACAGTGTAGAGCAGGGATTTATATAGCTGTTCAAAAACAGAACACAAAACCCAACCAAACAGGAAAAACAACATAAGTGGACAAGGATATATAGAGAAGGCAGAGATGGGTCAGATCAGAAAAAGCCAAGCTGTGGTGGGACAAGTTGAAATAACCAAAAATACCTTACTTTATTGGAAGGCATCTGTCTCTAGAGATCAGATTGCTACTTAAGGATGCAGTTTCAAGTTTTTTCACCAAACATACATGAAACATGATGCTAATTGTGTGTCTAGATATAGGCTGAATAAAGTTGTAGACAGTGGTAGCCTACTCCTTGTGTTCATTTACTCATCAAAAAAGGTCAGAAATCACAGAATGGGTAAGGTTGGAAGGGAAGTTTCTGGTCTGAAAACATATTTGAGGTTTCTTCTATGTTTTTAGGAAACTAGTTGTGGAAAAAGACTGCAGAAATATGCAGAAGGCAGTTTTTATACATCTTGGTCCTGTTAAACCTTTAATGAGTCATGTTTTATCTGTTCATGAGACTTTGCCTCCTTTATACAGGGTGGACTGTGCACTTTGAATGTGGCTTTTCAGTATTTCAATGTCCTCCCTTCCCCAGCTCAGTCAGTGGCCTGAATGCTGTATTAACACTGATTTCTCTAAAATTTCTTTAGCATACACCTAGTACAAAAGCTCCATGTGAATTTTCAGAGTACTTAGTGAGATAAGGGTGTTTGATACAGTTGAAATACAGGGAAGAATAGTGGACTGGTTTTCACATCAATTTATTTCAGATTTCCAGGACTCCTAACATGATGTTCAAAACTGATTCAAAGTACACTCTGAAGAGACTTCAATTTAAGAAATTAATGATGTTAGTTTTGGAAAAGTAGTATGTTGGTCCGAAGGATAAAATGCAGAGAAAACTGAGTCACTAATAATTACGAATTTTTGGTTTTCAGTTACTTTAAGCTGGCTAAACAGGAATTGAGACACAATTCTATTCTTAGCTTCATTGTGTGATCATCCCTGATCCATGATGATCCCATAATGTTTGTGTGTGTGCAGCTGATTTTTTCTTTATATGCTTTTCTGTCTTCTATAACAGGTAAAATAACAATCCAGTATGTTCTTTCTATTATAGAGATCTAATGAGTTTTACTCAGTTATAAGCAAAAGTCTCTCTTCACTGTATAATAAGATGGGGAAAATAGCACAAGATGAGTATTTAGCATCTGTACATCATAGCAGTGTCATTCAGGTTACATTTAGAACTTTTATTCTAGAATTCTGTAACTTCTGAAAGGCTGACATAACTTCTAGTAAGTTTTAATTCTGGTATAACTGATGTAGTGCTTTTTAGTCCGTACATTTTTTTTTTTTTCAATTAAGTCCATCTTTAGAATCTCCTTGCAAAATAAGGGGGCAGACAGGAAAACTAATGGAGAAAGTTAGTGTTCTGGCCAGTGATCCATAATCTTTGATCATTCTACTCTACCTGTTGCAAGTAGAAGCCATTCTTGTTAAACTTGAATGCTTTAGTTAGATATAATTTTAGTTTAAATAATCTTGCATTTAGTTGCTCATTCCCACCTTTGTGCTTAATTATCTGATCATTTCTCTACTGGTTGAAGTGATAGATGGAGCTGAAAAGCCATCTTTTTCCATGTGCATGACATGAAGGGAGAAATGTTCTATGCAGCATATCTATAATTCAGGAGCTATTGCATGTTCCTCATTTGTGTCAGTGTTGCATTTGAAGTTACTGGAGTTGAATGTGTTTTTTTATCTGTGGTTTGAAAACCAAACCAAGAACAGACAGTTTATAATTCTTAAAGGAGCAGTTAGGTTTATCTGAAGGGACCGAATGATCTCTTGGTGACTAATTTTTTTTTAATGGAGTCTTGTTTCAATTTTTTTAATGTCCTTGAATGAATCCCAACTTAAATATGCATTGGTGTTCAAGAATGAGAACAGAAAAACTTGATCATGCACAAGATGTCATAGTCTGAAGATTTGCCAAGGAAGAAGAAATTCCAGTGAATGGTAATTGTTTTGAGCAATGATGAAAACTTCTGTCCTTGATCACTAATGATAAAACTATGCCCCTTCCAATTTATTTTTCTTAGTGCTACTCAGATTTTTTTTAGGGTATTATGATATTTCTCTACTCATCAAAACCAGCAGCAAGATGTTCTCAGTGTTTGGGATGTGCTGATCATTGTTAACTGGTTTCTCATAATACTCATGAGTCCTGAGGGAAGCAGTTTCCGTATCTGTGTGGTCATAGTATTGACTCCAACCTCAGGAACACTGTGACAATTTAGAAAAAAATTGAGGCCTTAATGCCCATCTGGATGCACTTTCTTTCTCTCCTTCTATTTATATCCATAAATATAATTGTGCTTTGAAGAAAAAAGATTTACAGCATTATCTAAGAAGAAAAATAGTCTTGTTCACTCACTTCATTATGGGTCACAAAGTATTGAAAATATGGTATCCTTTCTACGGATCTTAAACTCTTAAAACCTGCAGTCATCTGCTCTCTATTTTCCTAGAAGACGTGCCAGTTTTAAAAAGTGACTTATAATTGTCAAGTAGAGATGAGGATGTTCTGAGCAACCAATAATGCAGGATCTACCTGTTAGGAAGTGAGACACGAACAGGAAGGGACTTGCTGTTTCATTTAACTTGTCATTGTGAGGTTCAAGTCATAACAGTTCAAACCGTGCAAGTTCATGCCAAAGCTCCTCTGTCTGCTGTTGGTAGGAAATGAGTTATTTTTCATGCAGTTAACTAATGTGTAGATTGATGCACTTTTATATGTGTGTAGATATACATATATATTTGAAAATGCATATTCTTGTATGTATTCCTCTCTGTGTGTATAAAGCATCAGATATTTCTTCTATTTTAGAGGTGCAACAAAAACCCGAACGTCAACCCCTCCTAGTGTGGCAAGAGCCATGAGCACGGGTGCTTTGACAAACAGAAGAAAAACTAGCAATTCAGACATTCACTCAAGGTAGCTTTTAACTTTGTGGACTTTGTCATTGTGTGACTTTGTCATTAATAGGGATTACCTCCTACAAAAGAAGTTAAGGAATGTATTGTTCTCTGCAGTTAATAGATGATCAATATTATTTTGCTTGTATAATGTGCTCAATGTGTTTTGCATGTTTATCATCTGACAGCACACCTTTGTCATCAGCTGTCTCAGATGTGCACAGAAGACCCTGTTGGAAATGTCAAAAACTACTTGAGAACTGTTGAAAAAATAACCAAATATTATTTCAGTAGAAACTGAATTAAATCTGCATGCTAAGCACAAAAATTGTTTTGCCCTTTTAAAGGGTAGGAGGAAAATAGTATTGTAGGTTTAGCCTTCCCTTTTTGACAAGCTAAGTTTTAAATGTTCAAGCACTTCAGGTAGTCTAAGTAGTCAATGAAATATTTGATCCTGCTCCTCAAACTCTGGTGTTTTTTATTTTCTTGCAGGGAAGGTGGATATCTGGATATATGTATGGGAGCCTGGGTAGCATTGTATATAAGATATACCACTGTATATAGGAAGTGAAGGAATTAAAATTACAGTAACAATAACTATATTCATTGCAAGGATCAGACTAATTTTACATTGTTATACTGAACTGACTTACAGAGAATTTTCTTCATCTGGGAATTTTCAGGTCTGATGGGAAAACTGGGTATGACAATGGAGACTGCCCATCCTCAGTGAATGGAGGAAGCGCGAAAAGCAGCGAAGGAATTTCACCTGTACAGTTATCCAAGTTCTGCCATGAATGTGGAACAAAGTATCCAGTGGAATGGGCTAAGTTCTGCTGTGAGTGTGGAATTCGAAGAATGGTTGTGTGAACACATTCTTTAAAGCAGAAAGAAAACAAGAAATTGGAACATCTGCTATGTACTGTTGCTTGAGTACTCCATCCAGTTAGACTTCATGCTGCAAAAGTCAAAACATCACTTTGTAATTTCCTGAGTGCAATCTTCTGGTTACACAGTTATTTATAAACAATGATATATACTGTATATAAAAATAGCAGCTACTAAAACTGTGCCATTCAAGGAAATACTCTTTACTCTTTGTTGAAAATATTTAAAAGTAAGGTAAAAATGCTTTAAGTAACCTAGGCAGCAGAAGAGGTTCAATGCTATTTTTCTTTGTAAATCTTACTAGGCAAAGGATTTTTTAAATCTCTTATGTAGGGTAATGCTTTCCTATGGGGAACTAGCCATGAACAACTTGGGCTTCAAAAGCTTCTCTGTGGAGGCGTTTTTTTCATGTATGACAGTAACTTAGATGCTGTGTTCTAAATGAAAACAACATGAGGAACTCCTTATGAATTCCTAGATAAAAGTGTACAAAGTTCAGATCTTTAAATTCTTTAACAGTAATATGCTAATTGGACTTTCCAGTTGCTTCCTAGAATTTTTTGAAGAATCAAAGTAGAAAGACTACCTGAGAATTCTCTTTGCATCTAAGAAGAAAGGCAAGATTTTCTTTTTGTGGCTTTCCGTGTTCTGTTTTTCAGTAAAAATGTGTTAATATTTTTATGTATTTATAAGGAAAAATATGCTATTAATTTTATTATTATTCATTTTGTTAAGTTCCTTTTGTTTCAAAATACTTGTCTTCCTCCTGTGCTCCACCATGACTAGCATATCTAAAGGTGTTGTGCTTTGTCCTGTTCCCAAAGGTCCTGCTCGTTTTTTCTTTTCCCTCATTTCCTCAAACAAAGTCTATACTTATCCTACCTAAATGTTGAACTCTTATTTTGAAAACAGCCTTCTTGATGTATCCAATACCAAAAAAAAATAGTTCTATAAAAATTAATGCCATTAGAGCAGTAGATCTTGATGTTACTAGTGAATCTTTTTCTTATTCCTGTGAAAATAGCACAGCTTACACATATGAATGCATAGGGAGGTAACTGTGCTTCACTGCTATCAAGACCTGATTTGGTTTTTTTTTTTCAATTTTGTGTATTTCTGATCTCAAAACAGCAGTTTCTTCAAGTTAGTAATAGACTTCACATTAATCCATTGGGAAGAAGGGAGAGACTCAAAGTTGTTCGGTTTTTTATTAATTACATAGTAAATTGGTAAATTACACATTTACTAATAAAACCATTCACAAGCCAAATCATTTTAACTTGTATCTTAATGTTGTAATTTATTTTGTGAAGTTTTGCTTTGAAGTATTTGCACCATCTTCATTATGCGTGACAGAACAATCTGAAATAACTTATCTGTGCCTTTCCCACAGTAAATACATTTTTTGTCAGAAACTGGTACTTTCAGCTCACAAACACTATTAGTTTCAATTCATTTAATTTTTTTACAATTTAGATGAAATATGATGTAGTGTTCCATGATAGTATTATGGTCATTGCTTACATTCTCAAAAATTGTGATTATCAACGGGGCCAATTTGGAAGAAAGCATGATTGAAGAAAAACGTCTTCAAAGCAGATACCAGTCTAAGAGTGATTTAAGAGACTTGATGTAGTTATGTTGCAGGCCACGAGCTATTCATGTTTTAAAATCAGTTCAGTGAATGTCTTGCACTTTTTATACAATTTTTTGAACTAAATTATCTTTCATTCAGTGTAGTCTTTTCACAATTGGTGTAAACTGGCTACTGAGCATGATAGGATAGATGACTGGTAATGATACTTAGAACTGACAAGTCCTAGCCAGTTTATTTTCTAGGAGTTTAGATTCTAGGATCCATATTATAGTACATTCATGTTTGTGTTTAGAAAAACTGGAATTCTGCATTCTTTCCTTAGATAAGCCTGCTTTGGAGATCTTGCCCTGGACTTGAGTCATGGAGGTTTGCAGACTGATGTATTGTGAGCTGAGAGTCCAACAGCAAAGATACCAGTCCAGAATAGGTTTGATCAGATAGTGAATCTACTCTTGCCTGATGAATTTGCAGTTGTTTCTGCTGGAAAATGCATTTTTGCATTTATTAAAAATGCTTTCTACAAAGGGAATGTTTAGTACAGCACTAAATACTTTTCAGATTTTCCAGGATTATTGTAGCTGTAGGAAAAAACATTTTGACTCTTTCTCCTTTGAATTGTGGGTGGCAGATCTCCTAATTTCAAATCAATACTCATACAGTTAGTGTTTCCTGCTTTGTGAGCTGTTTGTGGGATTCTTTGCTTTCAATGCAGCATTTAGTAAATTACTTGAGTAGCACACCATTTGCTTAATTTACACTGACGTGATTTATCATGAGGATTAGATAGGGAATTAACCTGAAGGGATATAAAGGTTTTTAAAACTGGTCTTTTAATTTGGCCATACAAAGAAGGTCTATGAAACATAATTGAATATTGATAGTAACACTGGATAATGTGTGTGTGTTGTAATTCACAGTATAAGGAGACAATGAAATTATTTTTGACTTTGTAGTTTGGTGCTGTGTGGTAAGACTTATGATGCCTGTTATGTTTTGCGTTTATCAACTGGTTTTGTTAGTGAATGGCATAGGTTTCTGAAGTCTGTGATGTTACAGACCCTGGCCTGTATTACTCAAGGTATTAGCACAGATCACTGTACTTCCATCTCAGTGGATGTTTGTACAAAACAGTGGATTGGTTTTCATGACATCCCCAAAGAACTCAATGTGGGAAACAAATTTGTTATATTTACATTAAAAAAAATTCAGGGAGTTGGACTGAATTTTCAATCTTTAGTGTATTGCATGTGTCAAGACGTTCCCAAATTTAATTTTTTGGTGATCTACATCCAAACCCTCTTGCCCTAGTCTTCTTCACACCCTTATGCCTTGGTTTTCATGGGAGGAAAAAACATGAACTATGCACTGTCTGTTTATAGTGAAATTTAGTGATGCAATTGTTGTGATGATTGCTATACCAATGTATAACCTTATGACAGATTTACTGTCTGCCATTTTATCTTCCTGATGTTCTTACTAAAGTTCTTCTATTCATTAAAGAAGGGGGTGGGGGTAAAAGGTCAACAGTAAAATTCCATTTAAAGAAACAAGAAGAGGCTGGTTTTGATGTTTGGCTGGTGGGGGAGTTTGCATTCCCATTCTACTTTTGTGATTTTCTCTTATACAAAGGACCTCTCTGTGCCAGGAAGTGTAGTGCAAGATCATTGGAACTATGCTGATAGAAGTGCAATGGAGTTATGAAAAATCCTAGCTTCAATAGTAAAAACAGCGTAGCATGAAGCTTAATTGCTATATGATGTACCTTACACAGGTTTATATTCATGCATGATGTCCACACCCTAGGTAGTTTCAGAACTGGAATCTTCAAATATACAGCAATTAAAATATGTGTTTATATGAATAATTAGTCTTACACACCACTGCAGGGAGGTGGGCACAGGGAGGTGTTTCACCCCCATTTCAGGTTGTAACTATGAAATGAACATATTGGCAGAATTTTTCAAATTTGCCAAAGAATCTCGAAGAGCCCTTGAACTCCCTGGAGGGAGGGGAAGCTCCGCCTGAGAGTTCCCTGGCTGGGAGGGTGTCAGGCAGGGGAGCTCTCCTCGGTGCTCCGGTGCTGAGCCTCTCCCGCGGTGCTGGGGCAGCGGCCGCTCCAGTGCAGCCGCACGCCCTGTGCCTTCACAGGGTGGGAACTCCAGACTGTAACACCTGACCCAGTCTTTGTGCATCATGGAAGTGCTCCGCAAGTCCCTTGCGTCATCTGCAAGGGACTAGCTTCTAATTCACCATCACAGCTGAGAGCTGGTGCCTGAAATGCAGGGAGAGTGTTTCCATGATGCCTGTTTACCGAGTCAGTGGAAGGAGGTATGACTGCAGTACTTTAAATAAGCAAGATATGTGCACACTGATGTAGGCTATGTAAATAGTCTGCATATAAAATTGAATGGTATTGTCTGTGTATTACAAAGGTCACAAGGAGTGCTAGTTTCTATCACATAGACTTTGTATATCTGCAAAGAACAAACCTGTTATGAGTGTTTTTAATCTTGGCTGAAAAAATTGTGTTTAGTAAGAGCACTTTTTTCTATTTTATTTCCATCCAGTTTGACTAAGCTATGAATAGTTATATGGGTTGTATGAGAAGGTAGAATTTTCATCTTTGGTAAAATTTGTTTTAGTGACTCTGGTGAAAATAATTTAATTACCTTTCAAATACAGCTTATTCCAACTTGTGATTGTTTTGTTGCTGGTTGGTTTGGTTGTTTTTTTTCCATCTTGCTAAGTAAGGTTTGAGTGACCTAATTGTGCTGTTGGAAGAAGTGTTAGGTAAAAGACTTCATTAGCTGAATTCAGTAGTTACTTGGTTGATATTTTTGTTCCAGTATTCACAGTATAAGAGATTATTCTTGCATACTGGTTCATTTTTTCATTTATTTTGGGTTTGGTTTTTTGGTGTTATGTCAGTCCAGAACAATACACATTTCTGGAGGATCCTATTTAGTCCCATTCTACTTATCTTGCCAGAAAACAGCTTCTTCATATTTTCTCTTATTAAGTGTTCATTCTTTACAAAAAATAATAGGGAAATTATATTTCTCCAATTTGAACATTGAAGTCAGCAAATCAAATACTCAGTTTAATGTGGCTGAATATTGAACCCACGTTCTAAACAGAAGTGCATCTTTTACCATAGTTCTGTATTTCAGTTTGGCTTTCTGGCAGAACCGTGAATGGGTTTGGGTGGGATCTGCTCAGTACAGTACAACTATTACAAAAACTACTTTATATGATTGCTCTAACTCTTGGTGTTCATCCTTCATATGACACTTAATATGTTTCTCTTCATAAGTTTATTTATTAATGTTCTGTGTTTTTAAATGGCATGTTCATTCATGTGTTGGAGGTGATTAATTTTTTCAGCATTGCATTTATTATGTTTGCCTTGCCCCTCAGTACATGGAATATTTGTTTGTGAGCATCCAGTGAGGTTTTATTTTGCCAGAATTCTTTGGTTTGTTTGCCTCTTATTTCATATATTATGTTTATTTTAAAGTGTCTGTTTTAATGAATAAATGTAAGTCACCACCTAATGCTAATTTGCCGCTTGTTAACAATAAAGCAAATATGCCAGTAAAACTTCTTGTGATGTGCAATTTTTTGTAGTCAAATGTAAAATTATCTTATATAACATAGCATACAGGTAGGCAATATAATTTCAGTCTTATTAATGCTGTGGTGTCTGATCTCAGGTACACAAAGAATAGGGTTTTCAAATTGAGTGAGATGAGATTTGGTTTCCTAAGTAACCTTGAAAAACATACTAGATATTAAATCAGTGTGATCTGCTTATACAAAGTATCTCCTCTATTTCCCCAACTATACTGAGAATTTAGTTTATGTAGAGTCTATCAGTCTGACATCTGTAGTATATATTTTTATTTTTTTTGAATAGTAAGACTGTAAGGAATAGTAAACTTAAGCTTGATCTGGGTTTGTTCTCCTTCCTGACATTAGAGCACTGTTTTGTTGATGAAATTATTAAGAAAAAAATAAGTTGTTTATATTTTTCTTCAGAAGTTCATTTATGTAAGCAGAAATTACAATAAGGGTTTGGATTACTGATTTTTTTTTTCCTAAATATGAATGGATAGAGATCAATGCCTCTTTTCATTTGTTTTTTTAGGGGAAACGTCCTTCTAGAGCTCTTCTCTAAAGAGCTCTACTGAGCTCTTTAGTTTTACTTGGGGAGGTATAAATTTGAACGGTAGACTGTTCAGTGGAAAAGGAATTGACTGAATGACTACAGCTGGAAAGTTACGGCCAGTGTCTCTGTGTCTAGGTGGAAGCTGGTATGGAATGCTGTCCCTCAGGACTCTTGTTTAGGTGCTCTTATAGTATCTTTGTCAATGACACAGTGCCATTGAGTGCACCCTGGACAAGTTGAAGGACAGGATGCCATCCAAAGGGACTGGGCTGCCATGACTTCTCAAGTGTCATGGATAGTGAGTCAGACACTTCCTCTGCCAGTTCCCTCGGAACCCACAGATGTATTACATCAGGTGCCATGGACCTGTGCACCTTCATGTTCTTTAGATGGTCTCAAACCTGAACCTCTTGCAGCAACATTGGTAAAATCCTTTTAATTTAAATACCTAAGTTTTTATCTTTAACACCTTCCCAGAAATTCCATGTACTTCTAAATCGTGGTTTTGACCTACTCATTTCTGTGGCCAAATAAGTAAGTAAATGCGTAAGTGAAGGTGGCAGGGACGTAGGCATGATGGTGACAATAACGTGCACAGTTTTCATTCCTTTGCCAATATCTGAAAAGCACTTTAGTGCCACATTTGTAAGTTCAGGAAACCTGAGGAAGTTCTAAAATTGAAGGAACAAACCAAAGAGCACAAGTCAATGCATTTAACAGTTAGTGCTTGCATGTAAGTGGTGACAACAGGAAATTTGGCAATGAGAATCAGACAGGCAGGATATTTATTAAGAGAAGTAATCAGAAGAAATCCACAATTTCATAATCACTTTATTTAAATTTCTGCTCTGGATCTACCCTTGGTCTTTGGCCCAGGGTAGTCCTGGAATTAATTTATTTCTCTCAAGACTTAAGTTGTGGACTGATGCTCAAGTAACTTAAACTGACTGACCTTTCAATTTTGTAGTAGCTAATACTGCATCTGTGTATTTTCTGCTTTAACTCACACTGCCCTTTGCTTGCCAAGTTGTTATTAGGAAATAAGTGCTGGCTTTCAACTGTTCTTGAATTTCCAAAATATCAAAACAACTGTTCTTCAGTTTCAGAGACCAACTGAATCCGCAGTCTCCTGGGCCCTCTTTCAGAAGAAAGGATTTCCAGCGAAGTCCTTACCATTGTGGTTACATTCTCTTTATCTGCAGTATGGTATTGGGAAATGTTTCCTTTCCCTGTTCCATTAAAGATTTATGGGCTGGGATTGGTTTCAGTTTTTTAAGAAGTTTGGAGTTAAAGTTGCAATCTCTTATATGAAGAGCTAAAGAGAATATGTGAAGGTCTCAGTCACAGTTTACGAAGTTACCACTGCTGCCTCGTCATCACCATAAATACACAGGGGGTTGGAGAGGGTGTATTTCAGGAAAGCATGGCATGCTTTGCTCTTAACCTCTTCCCTCTCAGGTTTAGTACAGCAATCTTATTCCACTCAAATACATAAAACTAGTGCTCTTTACAATCAACTGAGCAAACAGTTCTTTGAAGCACATCCTACTGCTTTTCAGGTGTTTGTTCTGAATACCAAAATTTTTACAGAGGAGTTTTACGGAAAAATTGTTTTAGCACAGATAAAACCATTTATGTTAGTTTACTTCAAGCCAGGAAACAACAGGCTGACTTAACTAAAGCTTTACTGAAGTATTCAATCCAAGGCAGATGGCTGGTATGGAAATTTTTACCTAAATTGGGCAGGTTACAAGCAGCTAAGAAATGGGTATTTTAAGATGGGAGTTCCCCAGCTGGGCTTTGAATGACTGACTATCTCTGAAAAAAACCTAAAAAAGGAGTAATGGTAGTCAAAAAGTGAACAGCCCAATTTCATAGAAGACAAATATTTTATTACCAAAGGAGTTATATCAAAGTAAGAAACTACAAAAGAGTAATAACTATAAAAATACTTCTATTTATTCAAAATAAAATATGAGCACTTTATTAGTTAAATGCCAATATATTATTCTCTGACAATATTCACATATTTTAAGTCATGTTTGCCTAGCATCTTAAAACATGTTACATAAAGTAATTGCATATGAGAAATCACAATCTGAAGCTAAGGAATTCTAGCTCCTCCTGCAGCTAACTCTGGGTTGATCAAATTAATGAGTGTAGTGCTGTTTCCAGTCAACTGAGCAACTTGCATTCAGGCATCTTTTTCTTCTTCTACAGGATTCTGTCTTGTCTGTGCTTCAGCCAGCAGAAGCATGCTGCATCTCTCAAAAATCAGTTCCCTTCCTAAGTTTTTCAAAAAGCTAACTTTTTCCCTGTTTTTCCAAACCCAAACCAGTTAGCAGACCCATCAAAAACACTTCTGTGTCAGGAGAACATATCCAAGATAATCTGCTGCTTTGGTAAATTGTAACTTTTGGTCCTTGGTGTGTTTTGCATAGATATAAAGAAACCAGCTACTCTTTCATACTCTTTTTCTTCACCTTCAGATTCCAAGATGTTTTTTATAAATTCCAGTAGACATGTAAGTGGCTGCTTTCATATGACAGTATTATAAAGTTACTTGAAAAATCAGAACATTCAGAGTAGTTTCCAGAGCACAAAGGTTGGACATAGACCTCTGCAGAGTTATTTGTTTCAAATGGTGGTCTATTTCCACTTCTCAGACTTCAGCAGCTTCGTTCAGCCATTTCTATTTCTGTATCTCCAGGAACAAGGTACAGTAGCTTTCCATCAGAATTCTGGCATAAAGTGTTCATATAAGTGAGCAAGTTGACTTGAAGAATGCATATAAAATGCAAAGATACCAAGTAATGCCACTTCGAAAGAAAAGAGCAGGATTCACCTGGAATCACCTGGAAATTATTTTTTCAAATTTATTCCAGCAGGATCGAAGGCTAGATATATTTTCTTTTAGTTCACAAACTTCGTGGTTACATTTCTTTCTGGACTGTTCACCTGTCTCTGTATCTTCTAAACGAAATACGTGTGGGCAAACCTGAAACAGAACACATTGTATTGTTATCTGAGAACTGCTTATTCTATTCCTGTAGCCATCTTTCAAAGCAAACCAATTGCCTTACATCTGAAAACTGGAGAGACCCTGCCCCTGGGACTGTGAGAATGTGGCTTTAACTCAGAGGAAATAAGGGCACCTGAAACAAGTGTGTCCAACTGAGAACATGCACATCCTCCATCACAGATTAAAATTTATCCTCTATTGTCTCAAGGACTGAGAAAATAAAGCAAATTAATTTGTGAGCCAAAGTTTAAGTATTGAGACTAGTGGAACAAGACAGACCAGTTCCAGGGGCTGGTGCTGTGTCTTAATGTTCAAGATCTCAGCCAGACAAAACTACTGTTCTTGCTCATATTCAATGACTGCTCATATTTTTTTTTCTAAATTACTTTAATTGATCTTTAAATAAAAGCAGGACTCCATAAGGTTAGGCAGGAGTTGCAAGGGCGACACTGACTTCTATGTCTTGACTGGGATACCTTCAAAGTAAGGCAAATGTTGGATTCACCAGAGGTGACAAAGCAAAATATAAACACCAACATTACTTTGAAGATCTTGTCCCAGACTGTAAGTCTCTCCACTTCAAGGAGAAAAATAAAAAGCTAAATGAAGCCTTCAATCCATCTGTTTAAGTATTACATTTTTGGTGCCTATGTGGAGACTTTTTGATGTTGGTTAATATCTTTGTATTCAATAGGTAACACTGAGCCACACTTAAGAGAACACTATTCCTTTGCTACAGTAGATCGCTGTGCTACATTTAAGTGGCACCTCAAAAAGAAGATTCTGCCAAAGACTAAAAAACAAATATTATCATACCTAAATGTTCTTTTTGAATTTGAGAGATTGTGGTTAAAATAAAGACCAAAGAGATTACAGAAGAGAGAGGATCTCACCCTAATAGTTTGTTGAGACAAACCAAATTAAACATTACTCAGGGTTAGTGAGAAGTTACAACTCTGACTATAGTCCAGAGAAGTTTAAACACCTTCTTTGCACAAGTCTGGTCCTTGTCTCTCACTGGAGATTTAAGTGAAATTCAGTTCACTACTGAACCAAAGCAGGTGTCTTCACCATAGATTTCCAGATGATTTTCTACGTCTTTGCACTGGGCTTAATATCTGTTAAAAGACAAATGCTATACAGAGGAAACTTCCTTTGGCATAAAGCATGTGCAAGATAGCTGTATCTTTTAGAAGCAGATGTGATACTCTGTCTTGAAGAACTCTAGAAAATAAGGCAAGTAGTTAAACTATTACTCACTAAAATTGAGTACTCACCTTTTCTTTTTTAGGTCTTTCACATTTACACTGTAGAACTTGTAATGTCCCACATGAGACGAATGCTGCTTTCTGTCTAAAGGCTTTGCTGATTCTCTGCTTATTAAAGAATCTGAGCATGTTGCATGCCATGCTCTGTAGTGATTCTATTTCCTGTCAAGAGAGCAAGGAAAATATGTCCTGCAAAGTTTGTGCACCATTAATTATTTGCAATGTTGGTTTATCTTTAAAAAACCCCAGACCCTCCATCAATTACTATTGGTTTCTCTTGCTTTCATAGTGCGAATCTTTTTCAATAAAATACATAACTAATCTGACTTACCTGCCATCTTTTTTAGATATTTAAAGCAGCAATTTTTAGTAGTAATAATAGTAGCATAAGGATGTTAGGAAGAAATCACAGCTCTAACCAAATCAATTGATGCAGTTAGGAAAACAAATTATTTATGCAGCCACTCCTTTTATCAAGTCATGATAAAATCTGTAGCAACAACTGAAAATTGTTCTTTCTGGCATTTGAGATCTGCCCAAACTACTATTTTGAAGTTTTCAGGTCTGAAGTGAAAAGCTTAGCTAATATAACTTTATGTAGAAAAATAAAAAATATAGATTGGGAAATTGTAATGTTTACTTCCATTGGCAAAAAGTGTCTGTTTTGTTTAAAAAATATAGAAGAATCTTCCTAGTAGGGAAAAAACCTCCACATTTCTAGGACATGTAATTGCTTAATATATAAACGTTTAAAATATAAATTTACTCAACACATCATGTAATTCCAGATTCAAAAAACAAACCATCCTGAATATTGTGATTTGGCTGTTAAAACTAAATACTACCCTCTCACGCTATTTTATCCTGACTGTTCAAAGAACTCTCCACATTCTGAAAAGTTAAATTTTACCTCAGTATCATTGCAGAAAAACACTTTGATATTTTCATATTTTTTATTCTTGCAGCACCTGTCACGATTCTCTGCAGACATATTTACCTGTAAAATATCATATATGTTTAGAGATGGAAGTACTGTGCCAGTGCTCAGTCACCCTCACAGTAAAAAGCTCTTTCCTGATGTTCAGAAGGAGCCTCCTGTGTGCTGGTGTGTGCCCACTGCCCCTGGGCCCGTCACTGGGCACTGTGGGTAAGAGCCTGGCTCTGCACTCTCTGCCCACTCACTTGAGGTATTTCTACACATGGATGAAATCCCTCTGAGCCTTCTCTTCTTCAGGCTGAACAGCCCCAGCTCTCTCACCATTTCCTCATCATAGGGATGCTCCAGTTCCTTCAGCATCTTCATGGCCTTTTGCTGGACCATCTCCAGTAGCTCCATATTTCTCTCATACTGGGGAGCCCAGAAATGGACACAAATCTCTTCAATTTAAATCTTTAAATTGCTTTTTTTTTTAATTTTGAGACATGGAACAATGTTTAAATCTTACATTTGAATTGTAACATTGAATACAGTGTTTGTCAATGTTTGTCTCAATAAATACATGTCTCAGCTCTAAACAGATGGTAGCACTCACTTTGTATATGTAATAACAGAAGATGGCCTAAGCAACATCACATGGTCTTTTGCCTGATTATAATATTTTATTCATACTTTATCCTCTCTTGTGGTTTTTTCTTCCACTTTCACACTTGTCATCAAGATGACAATGGAAGCCAAGTCAAGAGAAACTTTGTCTTATTCAGCCTGTATCCAGACATTCCAGTTAAGCCAAATGGCTTTCAAAAGGGCAGCTCACAACAGTATTGTTTTAGATCTCTTCACTTAGCCATGGGCAGCTCACAACAGTATTGTTTTAGATCTCTTCACTTAGCCATGGGTATGAGCACATTAGAGAGTTAATTCTTAAAGTTTTTCTGCAGAAATTGCCTGTATTTCAGAAGTTCACCCAAGATAAACAGAAATTTATCCAGAAAGTGTTTTCAAAACCAAGAGTTTAGGGAGCCAAATATTCACTGACAAAGTAAAAAATCACAAAACAACAAAACCAAATTAAGAAAGCTAATGCACATCTTATCTTGCACCACAACAGATATTGCTGCAGTTGCACAGCACCAAAATTTATAATTTTATATATATATTTATATACAATCATCCTAAAAATGAAGTGACTATATATATGTCACTTCATTTGCTAACTGCTATGAGATTTTACCATCCTCTCCAGTTTCCTCAGATCACCTTTAGTATAATGTACAGTAGCCACATCTGAAGGCAGTTTATTGGCTGTGTCTAAACCAGCCTAAGGGAAATCCTGAGCTCAGAAAAGGCATTAGTGAAAATTTAATTACCTTACAAAGATCCAGTATATGACTCACTGTCCTACTCTGCAGCAAACCCATAGCTGCTCCAAACATCTGGCTGAGGAAGTGAAAGCCATTGACTCTGGCTCTGCAGTTGCAGGAAAGTGCCTACTGGGCAGTTGCTACCACCCACACAGCACACCTATTATTGGCTGTTAACTTACAATGACAATACATTGATTATACACAGAAGACAAATTTCTCTTAAACAGTGAAAAGTAAAGACAGAAAAAATAAAGAATCTTACACAGTAGCTGCTTGTGCATGTGTTCAAGGAAGTAAAAGCTTCGGAGCCCATTTTTTTTCACAAATATTAATTCATGAAGGTTTTATTTACATATTTTTTTTGATATACAACTTCAAGCTCCACCCTACAATAGGACAGTGGCAAGGCATTGCCCTATCCAGGCCAGGACAGTCCCCCAGCCTGCTGACCCTGCATCTTGAGCAGGGCTGGGGTGAACCTCATGGATGTCCACCACCAGAAGGCAGCAGGATCTGCTTCCCAGAAGGTGTTTTTCCTTTGTATCATTCTCTCTTACAGGTCAGCTACCTTCTAACTGCTCACCAAGAGAGTTTGTTTTTGTTCTCTACGGAGTCTCTAGGGACTTGTCTTTGTCAGAGATGCGACAGCAACTAAAGGGAATACTCATCTATTCTAATATGGCCATTAACATTCTCCCCAAATTTGAGGCCTCATTCAGGATGAAGTCATTTATCTGCAGAGAAATACCTTTCTCCCTTCATAATCTCAACCAACATAACATGATCAAAATATTAAAAGGTCATTCCCTGACCCTCAAAGTACTTTATTTCCAGAAGAGGATTGATATGTCTTGGGTTGGAGACCACTGCCATAATGCTCTGAAGGATGGTGGTAGTTCATGAGTGTGAAGAAATGCAATGTCTTCTGATTTTTCCCTTGGAAAAAGGCTGAATATTATTTGTATTTAATGCAAATAGATCTTGATTTAAGACTGCAACAGTATGGTGAACTCTCATTTAGTGACAATCTGTCAGGAAAATCACTTTTTTATTTTTGTGGGAATGCCTCTACTAATACAACTGTTTTAAGTGTTCCCCCATGGAAGTGTTCTTGACAGATGAATTTAATTGCTAACAATTCAAGGAAGAAATGGAAGGTAAATTTTGGGCATGGACTTGTAAACTGTTAAGAAACTATTTTGCAAAGCTATAATAAATGTGGCTGATAAAGCCATAATGGAGGAGATTTACACATGAGAATGCTAAGCTCTTCTTCACTGCCATCTAGAAAAGATAATTTTTGTTGGCTAAATAAGATATATTAATAGGTACAAAGAAACCTGTTAAGATACAAACAAACTTTTACTGTCATATGAATTTTGTGCCTCTGTGCATTTTTATTCCATGGACAACATACAACTTCAGTCAAGAACTATAATTAGTAGAACAAATTACAGGTGTAATGCTTTCTTCTCTTGATAAAAGCATACTAACATAAATAGTCATGAAATTACTTTAGAAAAAAGAATTTTCTAATGAAGTATATGATGTATGGCCAAATAGTACATGTGTCTAACTAGAGAATGCACAGGCACAAAAAACCGTATCACAGTATTTGTATATGCAAATAGGCACTATCCACAGATTTCAGAGATTTTAAAGAGACTGAATTGTTGCATCCCCTCAAATAAAACCATCATTCCAGCATAATGTGTGACTTTAAATTGGTCTTTTATCATGTTTTAACATTAGAGCTTACATTATTAACTGTTAGCATCTAAAAATAATCAACGTGTTTTGGAAGCCCAAGAGCTACTACCTACCAGCTCACTGATGTCATGACTTAGTACATTCTCATACTTCACACGGATTTCTGCTGTTTTATTTCCCATTGCACAAGTAGATGCATTCACTGGAGACAGAACAAGGAGTAGTGGCAGAACTGGTAAGCTAGATCTAAAAAAGGCTGGATTACAAGAAAAACCGTTAGGTACATGTTAGTTAATGTCACAGACTCTGTGCTGTATTAACAAATACATTCTGTAATCTGTTGAAATAGTTTAAAAGGGATCTTTGTACAACCAAATGACTTGTGCTTTGCTAGAGGGAAGGATTCATCTCCAGCTTAAGAGACTCTTTGGGTGTCTAAACTCCCTCACACACCAAGATGATTCACACAGTGCAGCTAAGAGCCTACAACTATTGAGCTGACCAGCTACTTGGTGGCTGCTTGGGCTGAATCCATCCTCAGGGTTCACTGCAAGCATTGAATTTTATTGGACCATAACAACATCGAACACATGTAGAGGAGTGATTTAATCATATATGTTTAGACATTCAAGTCTCATTTTGACTGTCCATTTTTCCTTTGATAATTTCTACAAATCCCCATGAACACACCTCTACAACAAAAGTGTGTTTAAACACATTTTCATGCTGACTAAATGTACAAATCTATGCTACTGGCCATAACATGAGATAAAGCAGCAATACAACTTTCAACACAAGATTTTTGCAATCTTTTTAAGCAAACTTCACTGCCCATCACTTTGTTTGTCCCTTTAGTGGACTGCCTTCCTTTGCTTTGACCCCTGGTGTTTTGTCTTTGCATGACATCCAGGAAAACATGAGTTCTGTGAGGACGGGCAGACAGAAAATACCAAAACATCAAAAGAGCCTGAAGAGACTGACAGGAGGCTGCAGGTGACTCACCTGGTACTGGGAATGAAGGGACCATGTACATGACAATATGTGATTAGGAATAATTGGACTCTGGCCTATTGCTAGTCTGGCTAGGATAATGCTTAAATTGAAGGTTTGGAAAAAAAAAAAAACCCAAAACCACAACAGTAGAAATTTATGATGGAAGACTGGCAAAGATCACAGCAAGATCCTGGAGAATTATGGAGTGTTTCTGCCCATCTTCACCACTGAGTAATAACAACAACTGCATACAGAGTAGCTGTGGGACAGGAGCCAGGAAAAGAAGAGGAGATGCCCTGGCCCCAGCTGCTACTTTCCTTCCTCTCTGCCAGGGATGGGCTGTTTGGTACAGCCGGTCCAGCTCAAAATATGGGCACCTTTGGACTTGGGCATCACTAGTAAATTACAGCCTCAGAGAGGAATTTTGAACAACTAGGAAAACAGCAATAAAACTTGACCATAATTTGCATTGACCCACCTATCTTCTGCAATGCAAGAACCACAGGCACACCGCATGCTCGCTGCCATTAAAACAAACACAGTCCCTTACAACCCATCCCAGCCAACTCCCACCACACACAGCAGACTGAATCCTCAAAGAGGAATGCATGCTTTTCCTGACTAGTGAAGCCTTCTCTTTCTGATAGATTGCATGTGAGCATGCAGTGATGTACACCTCTGTCCTAGAAAACAGGACTGGAAAAATTTTACCTGTACAAGCTAAATCACAGAATTCTTGAGCAAGCTGCCTGACAAATTCTAATTGGAAATTTCATGGGTTGAAAACCAGATTTTCTGACCTTTTCATATACTGATCAACCGAGGTCTATTAATGTCTCCAGAAATCTAGCCTGATGAGCTAAGTGAATCTTAAATGGATCCTCCTTCCACAGAGTCTTTGTAAATCTCTATGCTAACTATATCTCTGTTGCATGATTTATCAGTTTGAAGGACTAAGATTTAGTATTTTAAAAGACACAAAAAACATTCAAGAACTCAATTGTAGGGCAAGATTTTTCCAATCTCCCATTGCACCTCTTTCCAGTGCAAAAGATGAACTGCAATGCTAGCTCAAAAGTAGGGTAATGCAAACAATTTGGTTATGCTGCTTCACAAACATACTTGAAGGGACGAAAATAGCAATCCTCTAAATTAAAACAATCTGACTCCATCACTTTAAACTTGGCTCGTCCAGCAACAAGCAGAGATAAGAGATAAGATATTGTCCAGATTGCCAATCTTTTTTAACTGAGAAAATTACAGAATAAAAGTAGATCACGTGCTGCACACTCATGAAGTCCCTTGAGCTACTGCAGGATGGTGATCAAATTTTTTCAGACATTCCTAAATGAGTCCTCTGGAAAAAATATTAGACAAGTGTCATAAAAAGTTCTAGGAGAAGTAGACTGAAAATTGAAAGGGATTTTCTTGAGGTTAGGTAACTTCGAAAGAACGGGAGTTCATGGCGCTCCATATGGCCAGCAATTCAAAAGAAAGAGAGCATTACTGGTAATAACCCATATTTCCAGTAAACTCCCAGAAATTCCTAAGTCATTTCTGGAAAGCCCCAAAAATTCTCCTAGAAAAGCCAGGAAGAGCTAGTATTCCAGTATTTCTACATATTAAAAAAACCCAAAAAAAACCAAAAAAAACCCACCCCAAACTAAAACAAAACCTCTTGGCTTTTTAACATTAAAACACCCTCCTGTGCATACACCCCGAGGCACGTCCTCGGCGGCACCCAGCAGGATCCTCGCAGCAGCCCCGGTGCCTCACAACGCACCCCAATCCCGGCGGGCAGCTGCCTCTGCCCCCTTCCCCTCTCCGCATCCCGCAATTCCCTCGGGTCACTGCCATTCTTTTCCCTCCGTCCCGCTGGTCCCGTGCGGAGGGGCGGGCGAGCGCTCCCTCCCGAGGGCGAGGCACCCCCGGCGCTGCGCCGCACCTGCTCCGGGGACAGCCGCGGGGCAGCAGGTGCCCACGGGAGGCAGATGCCCATGGGAAGCAGATGCCCACGGGAAGGCAGTTAGCCACGGGAGGCAGGTGCCCACGGGAGGCAGGTGCCCACGGGAGACAGGTGCCACGGGAAGGCAGGTGCCACGGGAAGGCAGGTGCCATGGGAAGGCAGGCGCCAGGGGCGGTGGGAGCATCGCGGACGGGCGCGCAGCAATGCCTCCTGCAGCTCCCCCGCCCCACGCTGTCCCCCTGCCTCTGCCATTGCCGAGCCGCCCTTCCCGGCAGCAGGCGTGATGGGAACCGGACTCTTTTACTTTCATTCTACGGGGAAAAGAGGGAAAAAAAAGCAAAACTGGGAATTTCCCCGGCCGTCACCAAGGGTTTAAAAGGCACCGGGAAGCACCGCGCCGGCAGAGCGGGCGGGACGGCGGGGCCGACGGCTCGGAGGCAGCGGAGCAGGTGAGGAGGCAGCGCGGCCGGGGCGCGGAGCAGCGCAGCCGGCCCGGGGCAGGTGAGGCGGAGCGGAGCGGTGCGGGGCGCGCTCCTTACCATGGAACATGGTCCGTGCGGAGGCTGTCGGGGAGCTGCGCCGACGGGTCCGCGGTCATGGTGGCGGCGCCGCCTCGGCCATGACGCCCGCAGCCCGCGGAGCGCCGCGCAGGGGCCAGAGGGGCCGCGGCTG